CTCCAGCCCTGCCGCACCTCGGTAATAGCATCAATTACTACGCTGATGATGCCAGAGGCAACACCAGCAATAACAATAACAATGGAACATGCCTGTTGTATCCATTGCATGGCAGCTTCGGCGCAAAAAAAAAAAAAAAAAAAATGTTTTGAGATGCGCATCGAGATGCAACGCCGCCAGCAAAGACTGACTCAGACAGCTTCTTTGAGCTGGAGAGCTTTGAAACTTCCGGCGGACCTTCACGAACCACAATCCATCCGCCAAGCGAATGCTGCGGCCTGGGTGTCCACTACTTGTACCAGCGGCACCGGTGAGCCTTCCGCAGGGCCCGTTTGTCTCGGGGCCGGGTCCACCACCAGTCATCAGCGGCGGAATACAGATTCCAGTGGTAGCGCTCGTACTCTTCATCCTTTGAAGAGTTCGCGACAGCATCGTCCACCTCGCCAGTCGGTTCAGCCTTTGCTGCATCTGCATTTTGTGCATCAGCCTTCTCGGTTGTGGGTTCAAACTCATAGGAAGTAGAACCAGAAGGCGCCGATGAAGGCGGGGAAACTGCCAGCGGTGATGCATTGCTGACCGCATTCAAGCAGTCGTTGAGAGAGTTCTGTGTTGTGTGCAAGCTTTCCTGGGTTGCCGAAAGATCTTTGTTGGTGAAGTCAATGCGGTCATTAAGCGCATTCATGGCCTCCTTCCAGGCTACATTATCCACCTTTGAGCTCATTCGTGAGGTTGATCATGTACTCACTGAGGTTCTCCTCCTTCTCCTGCATCTGCTGGAGGGTGCTGGACACATCCTCCATCCAAGAGTCGTGGTTCTTCAGGGCTTGTTGGATGTCACCGAGGTCAAGATGCACGGTCGAAATTTCAGCCGCCATGGTTGCTTCAACGCGTTGGCGACTGGTGATGATGGAGTGGGTTGCGTCCACACGGGCACGCATCTCATCCAGATCCACATTCATAGCATCCATTGCCTCTGTGTCTGCCACATTGCGCTCCAGGTCGCTGCGTACAACTGCCACCTCATTGAAGCAGTCGCTGAGAGAGTTCTGCGTTGTGTGCAAGCTTTCCTAGGTTGCCGAAAGATCTTTGTTGGTGAAGTCAATGCCGCCATTAAGCGAATTCATGGCATGGTCTGCGTCCATCGCCAACTTCGACTTGGACTCCTCAAGGTTTGTCTCCACAGCAGTGATGTCGTGGCGGACGGTGGCCAAGATCTCGTCCACCTTTCGACGGAGGGCATCCACATCCAGGCGCAGGGAGGAGACCATGTCGCGCACAGTCTTGATAGCTGCGTCCGAGTCATTGTTGGCCTCCTTCCAGGCTACGTTATCCACCTTCGTGTCGAGCTTGGCAGTGAGCTCATTCTTCAGGCTGATCATGTCCTCACTCAGGTTCTCCTCCTTGTCCTTGCAGGCAGCGAGCTGCTGGATCACCTCGTTGAAGCGCAATTTGATCCGCGCACAGAGCGTGTCGTTTGCTTCACGAATCTCCCACCGCAGGTCGTGCAAGCCATCGAAAGTGACATAGCACGAGCCGCCAGCGTCACTGGAGCGGCCACGCGGCATTGCAAGGAAGGTTTTAAAGCAGTGTGGGTGAGTGAAGGTGTCGTTTTGTCGCTTCAAAGATTCCTTGGCATATGCTGTGGTTTTCCCATTCGGCCGTGCAGATGGAACATGCTACTATCTAGGACCGGTGGTACACGATAGGTATAAGGGTTACCATACTTTTACATAATGTAGGTTGGACAGGAAAGCCAGCAGAGCTGTCTTGGCCTGGGCTTTAGGATTTAGGGCCCAGGGTCTGCTAATGTTGACCAGTGATTCCCGGTACGGGGAGGGGGTTTATTAATTAGGAGTCTACATTAACAGTTTTCACGCATTCTCGGGAAGCGGCCCACCGGTCTGGAAGACAAGAACTGCTTCAGCTTGACCCGGCAGTCCTTGCAGGGCACCCAGCATCAAACACAATGACAACAACAATATGGACGGTAATAACAAGAAATAATGACAACGACTGTAGTAATGATATCAAGGATAATGGCAATACCAAAACAACAAACAAAACTAAAGTAACAATAAGAACGGGAATAACACAAACAACAAACAATGCTAAGAAAATTCTGTGATGTACCCGTATATAACCCACTATACTAGTTTCCATTTTCTTTTCCATCATCCCATTATCTACCCTAACCTTTGGTGGTTTCCCAAAATAGGGGACCCCAATAACATACTATATTCCTTATTACTGGGACCCCCAAAATGGTACCCCTAAATTTGGGAAATCCCCAAGTATCCCTGGGGATCGGAGCATCCTGTCGCCCCAAAGCCAGGCTTTGCTCTGCGCCAGGGTCGCAGTGCGACTTTGGTCTAGCTGCCGGGCCGCTAACGCGAAAGGCTGAACCCTAAATCCCAAGCCCGACTCTAAGGATCCAAATGGCCCAATGTAGGTAATATTTGTAGACTTTGGGCGCAGTCTGAGTATTATTTATGTACTTTCATCACTAGGGCAACTAAAACCTCACATTTGTGGGAACCTAATATGGCCGCTCTTTCAGGATTGAAGTAGGAAGTCCCACTCTCGAGAGCCCCAGAACCACGATGGGAGCCATGACGGAAATCAGAACCCTGTCCTCCAGAGTCCTTACCTCGGCGCCAACAACTGCATTTGAAAAGCCAACTGCTGTGGGCCTGTTTGCAAATAAATGAGATATTTGAGTTGAAGCCGTTTCAGGAACCAGGACAGCTCAAGCAGCTGTTTCCGCCTGTCTGCCCCATGCGCCGTGCCATACGCTGCGTTCTCCCAGATAACACACACAAACCGTAGGGAAACCTGGGAAATCTGATCAAGCATGTTCGATGCTGGGACATGGGCCGGGGTCGGAGGCTGCGCCTCTTTCGGTGTTCGAGGGGCGCGCGCTGAAACCTGAACAGTTGACAGGCACAGCCGGGGCTTAGTACCCTGAAGAGCCTGGGCAGTGCCATTCTAAGCGTCATTATCTGAGAAATAGCAAGGGCGTGAATAGGATTTCGTTGTCAAGATTGAGCAAGATTGTCTTTTGCCTCAGCCTGCTTGGCTCTCTCCCTGGAGATTTGTCGCATCCTGATGCCTCAGCCGCACCAGAGATGCATGAAACAGCAGATTGTTGCTTTAACTTTGCTACTATTGCTAGTACTATTACTATACGAATTATTGCTACTATTCATGTTTCCATCATTCTTGCTACTATTCTTAGGCCCGTCAGTGCCCCGATGTCTCCTCTTCACCCCAACTTCTCCCATTGATTATGACAGCTCAGGTCGTTGTCAATTTCCAATCATGAGGGTGCTGCACATGACATGCGTATCACTTCTCTGATGGTTGGAAAATCTCCAGACTTTTGACCACTTGGCTCACGGCGGGTCACCGCTGCAAAAAGCTGTTCACCCTGTGGGCAAGCGCGAAACCCCCTCCCCTCTGATACACAGAATTCGCCGTTACTGTACACGTTCACAAGGGTGGGCTTCCTTGTAAGCAACTACTGTACATTCCTCAGCCCTGGTCGCTTCGGTCGCTTCTTCCATCCGTCAGCTATTCTTCATCATCTTGTTTTCACCAGACACTTCTGTCCAGGAACTCCCTCCGAGACCCTGGAAAGACTAGATCGGGCAAGAAGTCAAGCAGCTAGGAGCCACCATGACCCCTCTCCCAGAAGCCTAGGGCTATGTGTAAAGACGGAGAGTTTGCTACGTCCGGACAGCCAGCGCGGCTTGCGGCCTGGCGCTCGCGGCTCGTGAGGACAAGGCCTAGCCCGACCTGTCCAGATCGTGATTTTTAGCTCTCCATGAAAGGATCAAATGGTGGTTCAGAGTAGTAGGAACATCAGTAGCAGCAGCCGTTAATGTTGCAACGATTGGAGTGGGAAGTGGAGGGGGAGCAGGAGGAGGAGGAGGAGGAGGAGGAGCTGCTGTAGCAGGCAGCATAATGTCTAAGAAGCAATACTATACTAACAAGCGGCTCCCAAACAGAACAACCACGCGCGATGTAATGCTCCAAGATTGTCGGTGCTGCGTCATTTTCTTCGCTCGCTTCGCCGCGTCGTTTCACTTTCTTGGAATGCCCGCGGCTTGCATCTCGTATGCATAAGCAAATGAGATGCCATAGTGGTTCGCAACCAGAGCTGCAACTGCAGGCCATTTGGCAAACTGAAGGTACCCAGGGTGGGAGGAACTTGCATTTAGTGATCAATCTAGCAGAATCTAGCACGTCCCTTCTGTCTTCTATGACGGTTGCAATCCTCCTGACTTCCTGGCCTTTCGCGCCAGGGAAATCTAAATCGGAATCTGCTCAAGACCAGCGTTCTGGTCGCAACAGGGCTCTGAGTTGGCTTGCAACACCTGCGGCCTCACTCAGTTTTGTACTGGCACACCTTCTTACACCGGAGAAGCTGCTCATTGCACAACATCTTGCCGGCAAGCGCAGCTCCTGCACTTCCAGCAGCCGTCCAGGCACCAACGAAGACGCCCCCGGTCGCCAGATCCATCCCCGCGCCCAGTACACCTCCCACAATGGCGGACTTTGAGACTTTGTCAGCACATTTGCCAAACTCGTCCGGGTGGAAGGAAGTGCCCATGCACTCTTTGACGCATTCTAGACTCCGCTCGGCCAGCATGGTGAAGCTTGCCAAGACGCGGGGCCTAAAAAGCAGCGTCTGAACCGAAACAGCTGCTCCCGGACCGCGAAGAAGGTTGCGCCAATGATTCGTCAGAACAACAACGAAATGATCCGAAATACCACACACACCCTTTCTTGCAGTGGTGTTCTGTGGCCAGCTCAGCAAGCTCAGCATCCTACTTCTACTTGAGGGCATCTTCAGGGCTTGATGGGCATCGGATGGCAAAGGGATCATGGCCACCCTCACTGGTCTTGTCGCTACATCGGAGACATTGGAGAGCTGGGGCCCCAAAGGAGGCGGTAGGGCGGCTCGATGCGGCTCGATTTGGCTCGTGTCTCGGTCCTCTTTATGCCGGTGCTTTCAGGAGCTGCAGGCAAGCGATGGCCGCTCGCGTCACAGCTGTAAGCGGCAAGTCGCACTCTTGCAGCTTCTCCAGTGGCCAAAACCTTAGGAACGTGGGCGGAAAATTCGTTCGCAAACTGCTCTGCCAACTTGGCCAGGAGACATCAGCCGATCGGACTCCCATGCCTCTTCAGCGCCCTTCGCGTAAGCAAGCTTTACCTCTTCAGAAGTCAGAGACGTTCCTCAGATTGCTCCACTTCATTGCACAGACACAAAACCTGGCATAACACACCATCCATGCCCATTGCCAGTACTTAAGTCCAGACTCGTAAAAGGAAAAGTACATCAGGCTTGCCTGTGGAATCTGCCATGAAACCAATGAGCTCCGGGCATGTCAGGCTCTCCCGGGGCACATTTGTTTCCGCGACCACCTGAAGCCACTATGTCAGTGAGCGGTGAGTAGTTGCTCATCATGCAGCTATGTAGCAATAGCAGCATATTTACTACATATAGATTATAACACCTATAGTTGTAACCAAAATAACGGCCATAATAAGAGAACCAGTGATAATGACACTACTAGTAGTACCCAGCCAGCGGACCTCATCCACCACTGAGCCAAAGAGCTCACGCTTGGATGCCTCGCTGGCAGTGTCCATGTCGGCCTCTGCCTCCACGCCTTGCACAGCTTATGCACCCACAGCATCATGGCTACATTGCTATCATAGTAGTGCTTTCATAATATCCTTCTCATTCATAATACTGATATCATGTCGTTGCTAACACATTAAAAACCACTGCTCTCAGCTGTATTGTTACTATTTCTATTGTTGCTACTATCATTTTGACAAATGTTGTCATTAGTGTTCATCCAATAAGTTTCCCCTGGCCTGCATTCTTGGGCTCCGGGTGTCCGCTGGGGCCGTTGTACCTCAAGTGATCGGAAAGCACGACTTGTACGGAGCTTGATCAGCTCATGGAGAGCACCGACGCTTCCCTGAGTGCCCTGCAACCCTGAGTTGGTGCCGACTGCACCTGCGCCACAGTCTAAACTCCTAGCATCCCCCTTAAAACCCCCATAATGCTCCCCTACATGATCCTTTACATAACGCCCTTTACGGAGTTTAGACTATAGCTCACCCGAGCAGAGAGCATTACGACAGCAACATGCACCTCCACCGCCTCCTCCTCCCTTCCCGCTCCCCCTTCACTGTAGAAACTGCACCTGCCGCCGAACACCTTAAACCCCAAATAACACGGTTTAGGGTTTAGGGTTTAGGGTATGTTTCCGTATTCTTTTCCATTATTGACCTACCCTCCACGTGAAATCGTCTTTTAGCATAGATCCCAGGGACCACTGCGGCGCAAAAGCACCGCTTGGCCATCTGAGGTGCCAAGAACGGCCTCGCAGCCCAGTGCTTGCGAGAAGTGGGCCGCCTCCAGATCTTCACTTCCACTACTGCGCATCAAGGTAATAGTACTGGTGACAAGAACACTCATAGTAATTAGCAATAAGAACAAGAGGAACGGCAATAATAATAGCAAGAACAACCATTGTGAGCATTGTAGGCAAGAATAACCTGGCTTAATTAGTTTGGAGCGAAGAGATGTTGCCTTGTCTCCGAAATCCCGAAGGCCATCCTCTCCGAGCTGTTGCGATTCTGTAGGGGGTCTCTGATGGGTGCCCAGGTACTCCTCACAGAAAACAAGAGATCGGAAGCTGACACCATCGTTGTGACTCGCTTGGCTCAGATCAATGGTGCTAGATGGTAGGTTGTCAAGATTGTTGTCCTATTTGGTGGGTACCCTAAACACATTCGCGGCCACACTATAATGAGGATCCCAAAAAAAAAGGACCATAATTTTGACCTCCTACCAGACGCATTCAGCCAGTCTCAGTCCTTGTAGCCTGTGAGGCCCAGGTTTACCTGAAGGACGCCATCCACCCACGCCACGCTGTGGAGCCGAAACTTCGAGCCGTCATAGATCCGGGGGTTCCTGAAGATCCAGTCCACAAAGTAGAAAACAACTTGAAATGTTTGAACAACTCGGTCCGCATGAAGCAATAATAACCATAATAAGAATAATGATAATCATAATACTAAAAATAAGAATAATCATAACAATAGTAGTAATAATAAAGACTAATTGAAGCTGGCTGCGTAGAGCAGACCAGGCTGCAGCCCGAATTACGATCGCAGGCCAAGGGGCTTGGCGACGGCATCGATCCAGGCTTGCTCAATCTTGGAGTCGCTTGCATGGGCCTTCGCTTTTAATCGGAAAACTAGCAGTAATAATAAGACTACAAATAATACTACCAAAACGAAAGATATTCGTAACCTCGCCGCATCTCACAGCTTACCCTGCTTGTCGGCGAAGGTCCTTTCGGTTGTGGTTCTGGTGGAAAGATGCACGAACTTGCTCAGGCCGAAGGCAGCCAGCCAGATCCTGTCAGAAAACACGGGGTAGATGGGGATCTTATTGTAATAGACCTAGAGCCAGATTCAATCTACTTAAGGGGGGACTATACAACCAGCTAGCCAGCCTGCGGAGACAGCAGCAGCGAGAAAGGCTCGCTCTCCGCCATAGCCAACAACCAGAGCCAGCGGGCAGCAACAGCTGCGTTTGCAAATGGCAGGACTAGCCACTAGCCACTAGTCCAGGCGGGTGAACACTGCACAAGAACCCTACCCTGCACCCAGAAGCAGACAAACATGTCATCGAGCCTGTGCCCCAGACCCAGCGATGGGCTTGCAAAGGCCCTCAGCACAAGGATGCAGTATGATGCAGTGGATGCTGCGCGGCAAGCGTTAATCAAAATAGTCTGTGTAAGTGTCCAAGGCCGGGGCTGCTTCTGCGCAGGATGCCCAATTGCGGCCTTCGGGGCCAGAGCCTCAAAGAGACCGTGCACGTTGCACATGGCCGAGTGTCCATGCCAAGACAATGAGGCTCCAGCTTAGACTCCGCCGTGCGCTCCGAACGCGCCTCTACATCAGTGTCAACAAGCTTGCAGAATCTTGCAGCATCCGCGCACACGCGTAGCGCGACTTTTTCCTGCATCACTGCAGGTTGATGTCATAAAGTGGATGCATGGGCATGTGGCTCAGCCACAGGCATTGCAAGGCTCGGAACCGAGTCAGAGGACGGCAAAGCGCCAGGGGACTGGTGCCACATTTGAATTCTGCTCAGGCCTTCCCCAATCAGGAATTCAGAATGGGAAGAGCCTGCGATTGGCCCGATGATTCAGAACACCTCAGCGCCCACGTCTATTCAGCACTCAGCATCGGCTCACAAACTCTTCACTACTTCAATCCCATCCGCAAGTGGATGCTGCATGCATCCTAGCCACCTACGCATGAGGCGGTAAACTTGGTAAAGGAAGAAGGCAGTGAAAGGCAGGCCTTGGACTCTGTTTTACAGGTTTTCACATTCTACTCTGCTGCTGCTTCTCGTTGGTAAGAAACCGGATAGCTCCAAACATCTCCAAACCAAGACTCAGATCCCGATGGCCCACAACAACCACTTGTGCAGGTAGTCCTGCGAGCCTCGCGCGACCTCCTGCAGCGGGTGATGTGTCTGGACATGTCACATCCGCGACCAGCCTGATTGACAGCAGTGACAGCGATGCCACCATGCTTAGGGGGGAGGGGCGCCCTAAACCCTAAACCCTAAACCCTAAACCCTCTCTCCTTCAGGGTGCCTGGCTCCTTCAAAGCAATGGCGCACATCTGCAAGCTCTCGCCGGCTTCGCCTGTCTAGGACACGACGAAAGTCACTGGGGGGTGATGGGCTTGGATGCCTCATCATATTTATAGTAGTTTCCATGTTCTTTTCCATTATCCCTATATATAATCCCAATATCTGCCCTATAATCCCTATATAACACTCACTCTCAGCCTGTTGTGCGCACCCAGCACGTCCTGGAGGTCTTGTTCCCCCACTGCTTGGCGACATCTGGGCTCAGGGAACATGTGCTTTGGCGCACCATTGTGAAAATCAATCCACACAAACGCAAGGTGGAGAGGCAGCGTGCATAGTAATCACGATAACGGCCCGTGCCCGCCTTCAGCCTTCCACACGTCGCCAGCGTAGGAACCATCAGAATGGTAGTTTGTGGAGGATGCAATGGGGACCCCGTACTCGTACGCGCAGCTAAGCTGCCTGACCGACCATACCAGCTACATGTTAACCGCTGACACCGATGCCAAGGCTTGGGAAATACCTATTCCTACACCTATTCCAGGAATATACGTCTGAAAACCGGGCAAACAAGTTGAACAAGCTCTCCCAATGGCTGTTATCAAAATGCATGCCAACCAGGCAGGCTGCCGATGGGAGCTGGAAGGGTCCGCTCCGTAGCCAAAGTCCAGATTCTCCGTTTTGGAGACCGAGACCAAAGCCCAAGGTGTATAACCTCTGTGCGGTTCAGAGCTTAACGCTGTTCTCTTCCAAGCCGCGAAGTTTTTTTGACCCTTGCCCGCGGGTCTTGGCGCCTATGATTGAGGTTGGGGGCTCTTTTAGGAACAGATTCCAATTCCAACAGCACAAGTGCGGATTTGGGGCAACCTTTTGTGGCAGGCTAACTTGGCAGGGGTTAACTTTTGGGTACCTTCTCAAACTCCCGAAAGGGGTATGCTACGACTCTTCTCTTTGCAAAAGAAATGCGGCCTGTCAAAGCGAAGAAGCATTAAGTTGACGGATTGCACAAGGAATTTACGCAGAGAAAACACGTCCAGGAAGTAACAATCAATGCCCAGAATTTTGGATGTCCATCCAAATTGAAATGCATAGATTGGTAAAATGCACATACCAAAAAACTGGATCGCAGGATCTGAGAACTACCGCTGCAAATTAAGCAGATTTTTGTGAGGAAGCTGTATGGAAAAATGAAACAATCAGGACCCACGGCCTGAGAATCATCCTTTAACTTCGAAGCACAATCAGTTGTGAAATTACACCGGGAAAACTACTTATGAAAAATAATCCAGGGAATGATTTGAGAATTCCGACGTTAAGCTGACGTACAGGCATTTGATATAGAACACAATATTGATTAATTACAACTATGTCCCTTACCCTCACGCTCTTCCAGAAGGGAAAAATCTCCCAGACGTACAGTTTGGGAGAGGGGAACGCATGTATATATATATGTGGCCGAAACCTTTAGGGTCTATTTGGCCACTCTTCCTTCATTATTCATAGCAATGACAGTAATCAGAGTAGCTTTAAATTTCATTATTATTTGTAATATTGGTATTATTACTATTAATAATGGTAGCAACAGCTCTGCACAGAACATGCTTCAAATTATATGTACTAATATACTATTAATATTATGAATATTCTGTGTCTTAACAATATTGCTATTTTAATAGTGTTATGCTTATAATCCATATTATTAGAGCCAGAGCCTGCCTACAATATTCATAGGGCGTACCCTTTTTCAAGAGAAAAGAAATCTCTCCTCTGAAGAACGTATGACATAGGCTTGATTCCGCACAGATCCTTATATATAGCTCATTGTTTTGATTGACGAACGTCAAAAACAAGTGAATGTTAATCAAATGCACCGCGCCGTCTCCGGATTAGGAGAGAGCTCTAGCTCCGTTCCATTCTATTGAAGTCCTATGGGATGACATACCTGCAAAGAACTGGAGCTTCCACCTCTCTCAAAGCAATTGTGTCTCTCTTGTACCTTTACTTTTAAAAGAATGGAATCCATTTCATTCGTAGGAATTTGAGGAAAAGAGAAACCTATCTCCTGAAGAACACAGATTTGATTCCACACAGGGCCTTCCACATAGCGCACTATGCAAGATAAATAACCCCCTTGAAAGTGAATCCGAATAAAACGAACCATGCCGTCTCCGTATGAAGCGAGAGCTCCAGCTCCATTCCATTCTTGTGTACCACATGAATATGGCGTACCCTTTTTGCAAAGAAGACAAACATCTCTCTTCTGAAATGTATGACATAAGCTTGATTCCACACAGATCCTTGTACATAGCGCATCGTTTAGATTGACGAACATGAAAAACAAGTGAATGTTAATCAAATGCACCACGCCGTCTCCATATGAGGAGGGAGCTCTAGCTCCATTCCATTTTCTTGAAGTTCTTTGGGATGAAATACCTGCACGGTCCATTTCTCTCACAAAAAAAATGTGTTTATCTTTTTTATCCGCAAAAAATAGACTTTCATTTCATTCGGATGAGCTTGAAGAAAAATAAACCTTATATCCTGAAGAACATAGAGTTGATTCTAGTATACATAGCGCACTATGCAAGATGAACAACGCCTTTGAAAATGGACCCGAATAAAATGCACCACAGCATCTCCATCTGAGGAGAGAGCTCTAGCTCCATTCGATTTTATTGAAGTCCTATGGAACGAAATGCCTGCAAGGAACTGGAGCTTCCACCTCTCTCAAGTTAACTGCATATGTCTTGTATCTTTATTTTGGAGAAGTGAGAATTCGATTCTGTTGGTAGGAACAAAGGTTTGGTTTCTACTGGCGAAAAGGAAATTGTCCTACGGAATCTCATTTGCTAAGTGAATGTTAATCAAATGCGCCACGCCGTCTCCAGATGAGGGGAGGGTTCCAGCTCCATTCCATTCTGTTGAGGTCCCATGGGATGAGATGCAAATGGAGCTATGAATAACACCAAAAAGAAAAGTGAATCTGAATTAAAAGCACCACAACGTCTCCATATGAGGAGAGAGCTCTAGCTCCATTCCATTTTATTGAAGTCCTATGGGATGACATACCTGCAAGAAACTGGAGCATCCACTTCTCTCAAGTCAACTGTGTCTAGCTTGTATCTTGATTTTGGAGATGTGAGAATTCCATTTCATTCGTAGGAGGTTGAGGAGAAGAGAAACCTATCTCCTGAAGAACACAGAATTGATTCTACAGAGGGCCTTCTGCATAGCGCACCATGCAAGATGAATAACCCCATTACAAATGAATCTGGGTTAAAAGCACCACACCGCCTCCATGTGAAGAGAGAACTCTATC